TTCAATGACCCCAATAAAAGAGAAGTATATTGGAGATAATCATCTAAAACAGCATGCCCCCCCAAAAAAATTTGGTTTGAAACTCTAGAACAAAGCCTAGAGGATCATGTACTTTTTCCTTCATATCCTATTGATTTCCAGATTCTATTTGAGTTGAGAGTCAGTTAAAGCAACATGGATTATCCACTTGAAGATATCAGTGGAAAACCAGTGGATTATTAGGAATTATCAGTGGATGGGCTGGGCCAACATTCTGGAAACACCAATTACCACCACTCACAAAAGTCTTAAAAGGCTTCCCCTGACACTGCCTATCTCCCAAGCAGGACTAGGGGCCCACAAAAGCTGTTCACTGCTCCTCCCTGCCTATAAAATTTCTGTGTTAGCTCAGGCTGCAGAGCAGCTGCGTAGCTGTGGAAGGCCTCCATACCAGCAATATACTTCCAGGCCCAGAGCCTATAGCACCCAGGCTCAGGAGCTTCTTTGAACATGTTTGTTCAACTATGAGATACTTTTACTGTCATTTTAACTACTCCTGGTCTCACTGCCAACATGTGGAGATGTTGTCAGGTGAAAGAACAAAGCTTCAGCCTGAGTTTACAGTAGGCAAAGCCCTGAGTGGGGAGGACAGAGACTCAGGGTCTAGTATCAGCCTTGTTATATGGCTTTAGGAAGTGGTTTAGCCTCTCTGGGCCTTGGGTTCTTCATCTACCCTCACCAATGGTAAGAGCCAGATGACCTCTACATGTCCCCTCGGCTCCTGCAGTCCCCCAGTAAAAAGAACTGTCCTTGTGCAGCTGGGAACGTCCACGAGAGCAAGCTCTGTTCTCTGGCACCAAGAGGGTGTGAACCTAAGCCTGACTGGAATGTCATCCCCTCATTCTGCTTATATTGATTCAAAAAGAAGAGGAATGTAATACTTCGAAAGAATGAAAGATTTGGAATCCAAAGGACTGAATCCTGGCTTTGCCGCTTAAAGGTTGTGAAAATTTGAGCAATTCCATTAGCCTCCACTGGTTGCTTCCTTATCTGGGAAATGAAGATATCATTGAGCACATAGGACCCTTGTTTTTGTTGTTGTTGTTTAAATATTTTATTTATTTATTTATTTGAAAGACAGAGAGAGAGATAGTGAGAGATAACATAGTGGGGAAGAAGGGGAGCCTGCAGGGAGCCTGATGTGGGGTTTGAACCCAGGACCTCAGGATCATGACCTGAGCTGAATACAGACACTTAACCAACTGAGCCACCCAAGTGTCCCACTCAAGAGCCTTGTGAGGAATGGACAAAACACATGCTGCAGCAGTCCATAAACACCAGAGTCTGTCCACACAGAAAGTGTCTGAGCCAAGCCAGTGAGCTCCCTGGGCACACTGGGCTCCCTGGGCACATCTTGCATGCATCTGTAAGTTATTCAGGAGTGCTAGAACTCAGTTGTGAGCCTCCTTCTTTTGCAAAGATGAACTCCAGGAGCACCCAAAAGAGTCATTCAAGAGTCACCATGTCCAGAAAAAACCCCAGGATGCTATGAACTCTCTTTAAGTCTTAGGGTGTAGAATAAAGAACTAATAGGGGCCTGGCTGTCAGGAACAGTTATAATTTGAAAAAGGAAACAAGGCTCCTGGTTGTGTCCTTAGCAGGCTGTAACTTGTACAGTTGTTCCTTAAGAACTTGGAAAGGGAAAGTGTCGAAGATGGAACACATGGATGGATGAAGCTGGGGAAGCTTCCTGAAGAAGTAATTCTAGCAGCTGTGAACCACTACAGAGGTGTCCTCCCAGACTTCTAACAAAGACAACCACCTCTCCCAACTGTTAACCCTAGAGGGCTGGAGAGAGGACCAAAATGTAGCCCAGTGTGGGTGGTGGTGCCTGAGGCTTCGAGGCACTTTCTGGCCAGGTCTTAAAGAGGAAATTTTCATATCAAATGTGGACAATGTTAAGGGCTTCCAAGCTTTATGCCTGCCCTACCAGTGCTCCTGAGCCCTTGCCCTGTGTCCATTTTATTCTTTACAAACTACCTGTTGCCCTTTAACCCTCAGTTAGGTAGTTTGTTAGCTCTCAGTCAAGAAAATGCATGTGTGTAGCTTTAGATGCTTAAAGACTGTGATGAGCAGGCTTCTGTCAGATTGGGGCTCTTCAAACTCAAGAGCTGTGATCTCCCCTCAGACTGAGGATTGCTTGGGACAGGGACCGTGTCCCTCCTTGCACTGGGGCTATTAGTCAATAGGCATTAAGAATTTCTTTCATTTCCACTAGGATTTACTGAGCAGCTATTAACAACTAACACCACACTAGGCACTGCTGTGTTTGCTTTACAATCCATTTCCTCTAAGAGTACAGGTATAGGCAGGAACCAAGATCTAATGTGAGGCTGCAGAACTCAAGCATGCTAGTAAGCATATATTCAGCACTAAGTGCTTAAGGTTATAAATCTTAAAAATATGACATGTAAAATTTTATAAAACCAAATACTCAAGTATAATAATTCTACAACATCCCATCATTTCCTCATGGATTTGTTGAAATACGATCATCAGTTGGTGTCCACACAGCATCTTACTACATCTGGTCTAGAGAGAGAAAATGGAGAATGAGGTTCATGTATTCACACCTCAGACAAGGTTAACTTAGAGCCACAAGATCTAGCATTGTTGCCAATACCATGTTGCATTGACCTTTTCTACATACTAACAAAGTAGATGAGCTCGTTAAAAGGGTTTCCTTATTAAATGCCATCTAGGGTGGCAGGGGCAGTCATGGAGTATCTCTCTTCCAAATCCACCAAGGTGATCTGTGCATAATTTTTGACAAGGCTTCTGACTCTATTAATGTTCACTGTAGTACCTAGTACACTGTTGTTGGCTGGATTAATGAATAAATTCCTAGCATCTTAAATCATAGAAAGCAAGAAAATATCATATATTTCTTTTAAGAACATGGACCCTCCAAACTGACATGGGCAATGGGTCACTTGCACTTGAGGTTCCCAGACATCAGAATTTCAGAGTAGTAACACCTCCCGCAAAACAATATGGTAACTGTTCTATTTTTATTTATTTATTTATTTATTTATTTATTTTTGGTCAAGTGAGGACTTAAAAGAAACAACTACAACCTCCTGGAGCATCCATCACTTTTAAAAGAAATGATATTTTTAACACACCCAAAAGTAGGAAGGCCATGATTTCAAAATAAAAGAACTTTCCTTCTCAAGGATGCACTGCTGACATCCTTTTACTTACATTTACCTCCAGACTAGAGAACACACAGTAATAGATCAACACAGGCCCACAGATCAGTGCTGGAACTGCACATGGTCTACACTTTCTCCCCTTCTCTAGTGCTGCCCAACTAAATAAAACCATTCTTTGTTATACCTGTGGCAATCTAGTTGGAGCCTGTTTCCCTTCAAAATCTCCCTGACACCTCACCTTCAAGCTGAGAAACCTGCTTTCTTCAACAGATCCTGGTTTTTCCCTTTTGGCTATTCTCTTAGGAAGGGAGCATGTGGGTTTACCTGGGTTCATGCCATCCAAACTAGAACAAGCACCACAAGTTTCTGAAGACCACAGTCTAAACAGGATCACTTGATCATTAAGCCACCATAATTAATAGTCAATTTATTATTGGCACTGTCATTGCAAAACATAGGTGGGTGGAACAAAGCTCAACTGACATTTCTTAAACAATAGCAATTGGGTTCTGATGATGAAAGAAGGGGGGCATGCTCTTCATACACAGAAGTGATACTACTCATCCAGGGTCAATGGAAAATCTTTGAGTATTTTCTTACTGAAGAACTTGCCTCTAGCTATCCATAGACTTAAGACTTTCTGGTCTTTCTGTCCAAAGGCAGACCAAGTTGGAGGCAAGACTGTGCTATAATAGGAGAGAATAAAAAGAACATAATCACCTACAGTTTATTGTAACTATTCCTTCTTCCCGAGTCTATGAAAGAAACATTACTATTCCTATTTGTGTTTTTTAAAGATTTTATTTATTTATTTGACAGACAGAGACCACAAGTAAGCAGAGAGGCAGGCACAGAGAGAGGGGGAAGCAGGCTCCCCACTGAGCAGAGAGCCCGATGCGGGACTCGATCCCAGGACCCTGAGACCATGGCCTGAGCCGAAGAAGAGGCTTAACCCACTGAGCCACCCAGGAGCCCTACTACTCCTATTTGATAGACAGGGTAACTGGTCATCAGAAGCCTACTCATTCAATAATCAACAAATACTTACTGAGTGCTTCCTATGTTAGGCACCAGGTAAGGTGCTGTGACTTTGTCCAAGGTGACACAGCTGGCAAGTAGCATACGGAGCACCCTAATCCGGACACCTAAATTCAAGTCCTTTCTATTTCACAGCTGCCTCTTAGGCTGAGGTCATTGTTGCCACACAAGACCGCAGGATGCCAGGGCCAAAGGGCCATGGTAGGAAGGACCACATGATAGAGCTCTTTAGCTTGTTCCTCTGCATGCAAAGTATCAATAATCACTTTTTTCAGACGAATAAATCTCCAGGAATAAATCAAAGTAGATATTCATGTCCCATTAGTTACAGCCCTGTCCATGGTGTGAAGCCCAGAACTGGGTATGGGGGACTCATACATTCTCTCAAGCTAGTTTCAAGACAAGAACACTTTAGTGAACCACACATGAAACCCTGGGGGAGAAACTTTAGGCAAAAGAGGGATGGGTTCTCTCTAAAGTTCCAAGGGTTCCAAGCAATGGGATCAAAAGCCAAAGACTAGTTCCCACTTCTTGGACTAAGGACTGAGATCTCCAGTGTGACTCTCTTGGGCCACCTCAAGAGCCAGAGACCTAGGTCTCATGGCATGTGCCCTTTGCCACAGGTTTTGGAAACAATGTCTGCCATCCACTTTGGCTAGCCATCCCTGCTGCTACATAGTTGCATCAGAGATGCAGACTAGGCTGCCCATCTAGAGTATGCAAAAATCTTCATGAATGGGCCACCCTGTGCCTGTAATCAACAGACAGGTGGGGCGGCAGCCATAGGTCACATAACTGAGTCCAAATATGAGAGGTAGACCCAGATTAATAGATGAGTCAGGGCTCAAGTGTGGTATAAAACCTTGGAAGCTCCAGAGCTCTTCACATAAGCCAGCATCTTCTCTCCTCACTCAGCCCCTGGTGCTTCAGGTAAGTGTGAGTTCTCCTGGCTCTCATCTTTCCAGCTAGTCTTCCCCAGCCCTGCTCAGGCTAGGTGGACCAGGGCACAGACCTGTAAGTCCTCTCTTCTCTTTGGAAACTACAGGATCTCTGCCTTTCCAACTGCATTCATGTTTAGAGGTAATTCAGGTTGGAAGTTGGGGGCTGAGCTGCTGCTCTACGGAAGGTATCTCTGGTTTTCTGGCCAGAATGGGAATTCCACAAAGGCAAGACTACGTTCTGTCTCTCTGGCATCCCAGTAGGGCCAGGCAGTGATGGGCACACATGGACATTCTGCAGACTACCCCTGTGAATGGGCAGGATGGACCTCTTGCTCCTGTCAGGAGGAGAGGCTGAGTCTTACTTCCAAAGAATAAGGGAGAACTGGGGGAGTAATTCAGAGAATGCTGCAGATGGGGGAGATTTGGGGAGCCACAGGAACCTGGTACCAGTTTTTCAGAGATGTTCTGAAAGAGAAATGGTATGAGATACTGGGACACAACTTCCTACTAGTAATGGTTGCCTCAACCAAGCTTGGATGTAAACAAAGCCTATATCTTCTGGTCAGAGATGCTGGTCCAAAGGACCACTGGGTCTTTTCCCCTATGTCCAGACAGGACCAGGGGTGGGAGGGGGTAGCCTTTTCTGATAACTAGCCCTGGTATCATGCCTAGGCTCAAACCAAGAATTTGAAATAAGAGCGCTTTTTTTCCCCCCTTAAAGATTTATTTATTTTAGGGGGGGGAGGGGCAGAGAGAGAGAGAGAGAGAATCTTAAGCAGACTCACTGCTGAAGGAGGAGCCTGCCTCTGGGCTAAATCTAACACTGAGATCATGACTTGAGTCGAAATCAAGAGTCTGACACTTAGTTGAATGAGCCACCCACCATGGCATCCCTGAACTAAGAGCATGTCGGGTGGGGAGCAAAAACCTCTGACATTCAGACAAAAATCCCCTACCGTAGGTGGAGGTTTGTGCTAATTTCTATCTGTATTCAGAGAATCCGTGTTGGGAACAGAGACCTGAAAGATGAAGTGCTCTAACCCTCTCATTTTATAGAAGTTGAGGACGGATAAGGGAGTGTGGGTCATTTGCTGCCAAATCACACAGCAGATGCCAGAGGCCAAGCTGGGAGAGAGAAATGGGCAACACTACTGGCCTATTTAAAGCTTGGTAAAGACTTTCTGAGGGGGAGTACAACTCTTCCGAAAGCACTAATCCTAAGAGTCCCATCTGAGAGCTCTCCCAGATCTCAACAGAGGGCTTCAAGCCAGGCCCAGACAGTGTTGCTCTGAGGTTGATGGGCGTTTCCAGGGCTGCATGAATGCATGCAGCTGCCTCCTCCGCAGCATCCTCTTACGGCTGGTCCAGTGATGCTCTCTGCTCTCCTTTCAGGGTTCCATTCCTCCTTAGACAAGATGTCTCACCAGAAAAAGCAGCCCACCCCTCTACCCCCAGTCGGCTGCGGGAAGACCTCAGGCGGCGGAGGCGGCGGAGGTGGCGGCGGCTGTGGCTTCCCTAGCGGCGGCGGCGGCGGCTCCGGCGGTTGCGGCGGCGGCGGCGGCTCCGGCGGGAGCGTCAAGTACTCCGGCGGCAGCAGCAGCTCTGGCTGCGGAGGCTACTCTGGTGGTGGCGGCGGCGGCGGCGGCGGCGGCTGCGGCGGCGGCGGCGGCGGCGGCTCCGGAGGCTGCGGAGGAGGTTCCGGTGGGAGTGTCAAGTACTCGGGGGGTGGTGGCTCCTCCGGGGGTGGCAGTGGCTGCTTCTCCAGCTCCGGAGGTGGCGGCTCGGGCTGCGGGGGTGGCTCCTCCGGGGGCGGCGGTGGCTGCTTCTCCAGCTGCGGCGGCGGCGGCGGCTCCTCCGGCTGCAGCAGTGGCTGCTACTCCGGCGGCGGCGGCGGCGGCGGCGGCGGCGGTTCGGGCCAAGAGGTCCAGTGCCAGAGCTACGGAAGCGTCTCCAGCGGCGGCTGCGGGGGCAGCGGCAGTTCCGGCTGCGGCGGCGGCTCCTCCGGGGGCGGCGGCAGCTCCGGCTGCGGCGGCAGCGGCGGCTCCGGCTGCGGCGGCGGCGGCGGCGGCGGCGGCTCTGGCTACTTCTCTCAGCAGACCACCCAGGCCTCGTGCATGCCTCAGCAGAGCTACGGAGGGGGATCCTCCGGAGGCAGCTCCGGCGGCGGCTCCTCTGGGGGCGGCAGTGGCTGCTTCTCCAGCTGCGGCGGCGGCGGCGGCTCCGGCTGCGGTGTTGGCTCCTCCGGGGGCGGCGGTGGCTGCTTCTCCAGTGGTGGGGGCGGCGGCGGCTCCGGCTGCGGCGGTGGCTCCTCCGGGGGCTGCGGTTCCTCCGGGGGTGGCAAGGGCGTCCCGATCTGCCACCAGACCCAGCAGAAGCAGGCTCCTACCTGGCCAAGCAAATAAGGCCCGTTAGACGCCGCGGAGAAGAAAGAGATGGAAGTATTCTCCGTGAGCGCCAATGGGCTTAGCGGTCTCATGATACTGCCCTGATGTTCCCAAATCCTTCAGGTGTCAACACCCGAGCCACTGAGCTCTGGGGCTTCATCTTGTTCTGCAGTTTTTCCTCTTTGGTTTCTGTACAACGATCTCCCAGCCCCGGTACATCCTCAGTCAATAAATTTGAAATTCATGAGAATTTCTGCGTTTTCAGGCACCTTTGTAGCTTCCAAGTTCATTCATTTTATTTCGTTCATCTTTCTTCCATTCACTCATTCATATCTACATTCATTCAACAAATGTATTTATTGGGGGAAAGGTGGGTGGAGAGACGAAAATCATGGAGGAATGGCTGGCAACCAATAAACAAAGATGTGAACTCTCTGGTTTATGCCTGAAGATGGTGAGCTGAGCCCCAAACACAAAGATCCTGGGAAGAGATTTCAATAAACAGCTCCTGGTGGGTTGGGTAGTCCCTGTGGGTTTTCTTCTTGAGCTCAGTGTTTTTTAAAGACAAGTCTGCCCTGGGGAGATGCTATCTCTCATAGTCCATGTCACACTCTTCAAGGTCTGAAAGCAGGGTGGTTGTACATAAGAAGGACTAGCTTATGCTACCCAGACTCACAGGAGGATGAATAATTGCATCAGTTATTTGTGACCCTCTATAGTGTGTAACAATGTTCAGGAGGCATCTGTAAGAAAGACAAGATGTAGAGGAGCTGTTTCCTGCTCTCTTAAAGGAGTTTCACCCAATTTAGGAATATACAGCATAAGTGTATGCAATAAATGCCAGTACCAGAGAGGTCATGGGGAAATACAGGAAGTATACCAATTAACAAGGAAGAAACTACAGTTGCTCTGTTAATTGCATAGCTTTCAAAAGAGATGCAGAACATTTACCTGGTCAGGATCTCTCCAGGCCCTGTTTCATATGCTAATTCTACTAGCTCTAGGTAAATGTTAACTTATTGATTTACTCAGAGCAAAACACCTGCTACATCAAAAAAACAAAGTGCTCTCCCTACCCAGTCATTGCTGAAGATAGAAAGACAAATTATCCCTCCCTGACTCTTCCATTTACAGAATCAAAACAGGGAGCAGCTTTAAAGACTACAGTAGTCTGACCACTGCATTATTTCTGTTGTTGTTGTTTTATTTTTAATAAAAGTAGGATATTTAGTTCTGTGTCAGATGGAGTAGATTCGTTTCCCCTTATTGCTGCTGCTAACTATAACTAAGGTACTTGAGCATAATATATGTTTTTTAAACTTTTTTTTTTTTTTAAAGTCTAAAAGGTGGAGAGAAGGCAGAGTAGCTACAGTCCTCAGAACTTAAGGACTGACACTGTGGTAAGTTTCTTAGGTTTTCTTTTTGCCTCTTATTTATCTCAGACTGGACACTGGAAAGTCTGCAACCTAGAAATGACAACAGGTGCAGGCAAAAAAAATAGCTCCCCCCAAATCTGCTTTCTTTGTCCAAAGGATCAAGAAAAGAGATAAAAAGGTGACCTAGTAAGGCAGAAATATTTTTTTATAATATCCACCTGTTTTAGCTAACCATCTTGGAAGAAGAAAATTCGCAGATTGAACTTCTACCTGGACCTAGTGAGGAGATAACATCCCCTACATACACACTTACTTCACTGGTGCAGCATTAGCAGAGACCTGCTACAGTACAAGATTTGAGTAACATCCTGACTCTCATAACACAATGCTGTAAATGTTTAGCACACAATCAAAAATTACTTACATACCAAGAACCAGCAAAATCTCAGTTTGAATGAAAAAAAAAAGACAATACTAATGTAAGGTTTTACAGGCGAGATAAACAAGACACCAGGTGAAGTGGGTGCAAGGCAAGATTTATTAAAGTCAGTCTCCCACGAAGTTTCAGGGCTCAGGAGAAGGGGAGCCAGGAAAGTTGTGCCCGGAAGAGGTGGGCACCCTCGGGTGAGGTTCCTCAACTCCAGAAAGGGGAGTGGGGAAAGTCGCACTGGGAGGGAGTTGGCAAGGGTCTTTCATCTATTTCCTGCATAGGTATCGGGTTACCTATGGAGTCGTGACCTGGGCATACATCCTTTTGGCGGAAGAGTCAAGGGTGAAGGAAAGAGGGTGGAGGGAGGCTGGAAGATGGTGGGACCCTGAGGTCATTTCTATTGTTCCTCCTGCACTCCTGGAGCCCGCCGACCTAACATTCTGACCTTTTTGGTGTAATAGGGGTGGCGACTCAGATCTGGCTACTTCCTGCTGGCAAAGGGGCGTTGTCATAGAGTCCTTCGGATGTCGGTAGGCAGGTATAGGGATGCAGGAGGAGTTGGTTGACAGTGACCCTGGAAACCTCTGGGATGTGATCCTGAATGAAGCGAAGAACACAGGGGGCGATTAGTGCTAATAGGCAGAGGAGAATAAGGGGACTTACCATTGGAAGGAGCCAGGTCGTTAAGGGGGAGAGCCACCACTGAGAGGGGTTTATTCCTGGGCGATGCCAGCCACCAAGGGAGTCACGGATTTTTGCCAGGGCACCGATATTGGTTTCGACTATACCGGATTCGTTGATATAATAGCAGCATTCTTCACTGAGGAATAAACAGGTTCCTCCCTTGTCTGTGGTGAGCAGGTCCAGGGCTCGTTGTTTCTGTAGGACTACCTGGGCCACTGAGGTAACCTGTCGTTGTAGGGATGCCAAGGACTCGGCTGAGGCCTCCACGGCTGTTCAGAGATGTTCTGATAAATCTCAGGTAGCGTCTATGGAGTGAGCTAGGGCCACGGTGCCCAGCCCGGTGGCCACTAGGGAAGATGCCAAGGAGACCCAATAACCAGGGGAAGAAACATAGCCCTTTTCTGTCGCAGGAGAGGGGTGGAGAGGATGGACATTTCTGCTAGGGCTGGCAACCTCAGGGCTGGCAATCTGTGGTGACCAGCTGACTAGACCGTGTGGTGTCCCCATGGGTCCAAGTTTCCACTAGGAAGAAGTGCCACCTGAACCCAGGGTCACCGGAGGGGCAGCTATTGGGGGCAGGGGTAGAAGGAGGAGGGTGAGGAGAAGTGGTACGGGAAATCCGAAACCGCGTGGGCCCCAGGATTTGGGAAGTCCAGCCATCCTTTTGTGGGGCTAGTTTTAGAGTGGAGATGTGTATCCACGGGTGGTGTCTTAGGAGTTTTGCTCCTGTGGGAGTTGTGAGAATAATAGTATGGGGACCAGTCCACCTGGGCTGTAAGTACTTTGGGTGAAGTTCTCATAGGAGAACTTGGTCCCCAGGATTTAGGGCCTGGGGGAAGTCTTCACCTGGGCTGTTGGGGGCAGGGATGGTTGCATCTGCATGAGCCCTTAGGAGGGCTCATAAGAGGGTCAGATAGGGCAGATAAGATAGGAGGGGTGGAGGAGAGGCAGGCAGGTTGTGATTGAGTAGGAAGGGCCTGCCATACAGGAGCTCAAAGGGGCTGAGTCCTGACGGCCTCGAGGAGAGGCCCTAAGGTAGGTGAGTGCTAGTGGGAGAAGGGTTGGCCAAGAGAGGTGGGTTTCAAGAATGCATTTGGTGAGTTGTTCCTTGAGGAGGCCATTGGCCCTCTCAACCTTACCCGAGGATTGGGGGTAATAGGGGATATGGAGTTTCCAGGTGATGTTGAGGCTCTCGGAGATCTGTTGTGTGATGCTGGAGATGAAGGCTGGTCCATTGTCCAATTGTAGGGCTAGAGGGAGTCCAAACCTCAGAATGATGTGTTCAATGAGAACCACGGCAACCACATCTGCTGTTTCCCTAGTGGTGGGGAATGTCTTGATCCAGCCTGTGAAGGTGTCCACAAGTGTTAGCAGGTATCTGAAGGTTTTGTGTCGAGGCATGTGAGTGAAGTCAAGTTGCCAGTCCTAGCCTGGCTGATGCCCATAGAGCTGGTGGGTGGGTCCCGGTCTGTGGAGGCCGCCCTGGGCATTGACCACAAAACAGGTTCTGCAGGCCTGGTGTACCTCCTTAGTGGTCTTTTGGATGAGGGGGTGGTGAAAGAGAGGTTGGAGAAATTGGTATAGGGCCTTTGGACCGATGTGGAGAGACTGGTGGATGTCAGTAATGAGGGTGTGGATTAGACTGTTCGGGAGGGCAATTTTGTCCTGAACAAAATACCATCCCTTGTCATCCAACCTGCCACCTAATGTTTTAAGGGCCTGAGTCTCCTCATCAGTGTACGAGGGACTGTGAGGAGTTTTGAGAAACAGGAGAGGGGCTGGAAAGGAGTTTAAGGCTATCTGTCAGGCAATAGAATCGGCCTTGTTGTTCCCCAAAGAGATGGGGTCATTGGAGGCCTGATGGCCATGGCAGTGGACAATAGCCACCTCAGTAGGGTAATTGAGAGCCTCGAAGAGTTTGGCAATAAGAGGCCCGTTGACTATGGGGGTTCCCCTGGTTGTGAGAAATTGCCTTTTCTCGCCAGAGGACAGGGTGAGTGTGAGTAATAAGGAAAGCATACCTGGGAGTCAGTATAGTGACCCGTTGGCCCTCAGATAAGTGAAGGGCCCTGGTAAGAGCCACAAGTTCTGCCTTTTGAGAAGTAGTCCCAATGGGAAGGGGGACCACTTCTATGACTGCCTCCAGGGTGACCACTGCATAGGCCGCTTGTCGCCATCCATCTAGAGCTATGAGGGAGCTCCCATCCACGAACAGAGTGCAATCAGGGTCAGGCAGCAGCAGATCCAAAAGTCCTAGATGGGAGGCAGAGAGTTCTTCCAGGAGTTGAGAGCAGGAATGGGAAGGAGTGGGGGTAGACAAAGGTGTTGGCAAGAGAGTGGTGGGATTTAGGCGACAGGAGACAGAGAGTGTGACCTGTGGGTATTCTATGAATAGCAGGTGGTAGAATTGGAGATGGGAAGGAGTAAGCTGTGCCAAGGATTTGTGGCTGACGAAGTCCATCAGTTGATAGGGGGAGAAGACCATGATGGGCTGTCCTAAGGTAAGTTTGAGGGCCTCTTTTGTCAGAGAGGTGGCTGCCGTTAGGGCCTTGAGGCAGGGCTGCCATCCCTGGGTGGTGACATATTGTTGCTTGGTGAGTTAATGGGGATAAGGAGACCCTGCTGCGGGAGGCAGTCGATGATAGGCTTAAGTCCTCACCTGTGGGTTGCTACTATAGATCTGGAAATGTCCCATACCTGCGGGTCTATGGAGGGGAGACAGTCTGGGATAGAGGATGAGTCAGAGGGGAGTAGAGAGAG